TCATTGTTCTAAGAACTGAGTTACTGGGCGGGCATTGACCATATAAGCTGAGCTAAGTTATCAGGTATTGGCAGAAACGGTGTCCTTGCTTCTCAGCAGTTTCTGTCTTTTCTGGTGGCTGAATTTTAACTCCTTCCCGGCACTATGCTCAGTTTAAATAGGGTCTGTGACCAATCAGGGCCCCCAGTGTTCTGCCAATCAGCTCCCAGGACTGAGGCCCTCCTTCTGAGTTCAGATCCTATTCTGACAGTAGCTAGGAGGTCCTGAGGTGGCAGGTTAAACCCTGCTAGTGCCAAAGAGCCCTGAGGACCAGGGCCCAAAATCCATTATCCCTGACCGTTGAACTCTTTAAGTCTACCACTAGGAGGCAGGTTTTCTAATCCTATAATCATTCTTGTGCTCCTCTCTGAACCCGCTCTAATTTATCAGCATCCTTCTTGAATTGTGGGCACCAGAACTGGACACAGGATTCCAGCAGCAGTCGCACCAGTGCCAAATACAGAGATAAAATAATCTCTCTATTCCTACTCAAGATTCCCCTATTTATACATCCCAGAATCACATTAGCTCTTTTGGCCACAGCATCACACTGGGAGCTTGTGTTCAGCTGATTGTCCATCATGACCCCCAACTGTTTTTCAGAGTCGCTGCTTCCCAGGATAGAGTCCCCCATCCAGTAAGTATGGCTGACATTCTTTGTTCCTAGATGTAGACATTCACATTTAGCCATATTAAAACAAAGAATTGTTTTCTTGCACGCAGTTTACCAAGCAATCCAAATCACAGAATCTGTGACATGTCCTCTTCATTATTTACCACTCCTCGAATTTTTGTATCATCTGAAAACTTTATTGGTGATGATTTTATGTTTTCTTCCAGGTCATTGATAAAAATGTTAAATAGTGTAGGGCCAAGAACTGATCCCTGTGGGACCCCACTGGCAACATCCATTTGATGACAAGTCTCCATTTACAATTACATTTTGATACCTAGCAATTAGCCAGTGTTTAATCCATTTATTGTTTACCAGGTTAATTTTATATCATTCTAGTTTTTTAATCAAAATGTCATGCAGTACCAAGTCAAATGCCCTAGAGAACTCCAAGTATAGTACATCAGCACTATTACTGTTATCAACCAAACTTGTAATCTAATCAATAAAGATATCAAGCTGATTTGACAGGATCTGTTTACCATAAATACAAGTTGATTTGGATTAATTTACCCTCCTTTAATTCTTTATTAATTGTGTCCTGTATCAGCCATTCCATTATCTTGCCTGGGATCAATGTCAGGCTGACAGACCTATAATTATCCAGGTCATCCCATTTATCCTTTTTGAAATTGGCACATTAGCTTTCTTCCAGTCTTCTGGAACTTCTCCATTGCCCCAAGATTGATTGAAAGTCAGCGTTAACAGCCCAGTGAGCTCCTCAGCCAGCAATTTTAAAACTCTTCGATGCAAGTTATCTGGACCTGCTGATTTTAAAATGTCTACAAAGAAAGGAACATAAAAATGTCCGCACTAGATCAGACCAATGGTCTATCTAGCCACTATTCTGTCTTTGGACAGTGGACAGAGCCAATGGAACTAACTTTAGAGCATCTGTTTAACATCCTTCCGAGATACTAGTGGAATGTAAAGATTGTTATCACCCCTAGAGGATGAAACTACATCATCTGTTTTTTCCCCAAATACTGAAGAGAAATATTTATTGATCACTTCTGCCTTATTATTGACAATTCTACCATTTCCATTGAGTAATGGACCAATATCATTGTCAAGACTTTTTTTGTTCCTAATATATTTAAAAATCCTTTCCCCCTGCATTTATTGAATTTCATCTTGTTGATATCAAGGTCATTTTGTAGAGTTGTGATATGGACAGTTTGGAGGAGAGAGGGGGCGGTCTAGGGATGTGTCCAAGGAGGTGCTTGTGATGGTTTGTCACCCCCAGGGTGCAGTCTGGGAGCTGTGGGAACCGCTGTGCCCCTCTACAACACACAGCTGGGTTGGAGACACAGCCAGCCTCACCAGGCCCTGTTGTCACCCAACATGACAGCAGGTGGCGCCACTCACCCAGCCTGAGCTACCTGAGTGCAAACAGCAGGCACTAGCCAACTTCCCAGCTCCCCAGGCATGCATCCCCCTCTGGAGTATAAGCCCAAAATTATACAGTCTTGTACTGCACAGGGATCTGTACAATATAAGTGTGACGAGTTGGATCACAGAAACCCCCTTGGGAACTGCCAACTGATGTGCCAAGACTACTTCTGCCCCTGCTTTCCTGCCCTGGCAGCTTAGGACTCCAGCACCCTGCCTGGTTTGAGCCAGACCCGCTAGCCTGCTGCAAACCCAGACCCAGGTCTGGACCACGTCCCCTAACAGCTGTAGGCTTAAACTGAAAGCAGCTTACATAAGTGTTCTGGTCTTTAACACTCAGATGCCCAACTCCCAATGAGGTCTAAACCCCAAATAAATCTGTTTTACCCTGTATAAAGGGTAAACTCATAAATTGTTCGCCCTCTATAACACTGATAGAGAGATATGCACAGCTGTTCCCCCCACCCCCCGGTATTAATACATACTCTGGGTTAATTAATAAGTAAAAAGTGATGTTATTAAATACAGTAAGTAGGATTTAAGTGGTTCCAAGTAGTAACAGACAGAACAAAGTGAATTACCAAGTGAAATAAAACAAAACAAAACATGCAAATCTAAGCCTAATACAGTAATACAACTGAGTACAGATAAAATCTCACCCTGAGAGATGTTTTAATAAGTCTCTTTCACAGACTGGACGCCTTCCTAGTCTGGGCACAGTCCTTTCCCCTGGTACAGCCCTTGTTCGAGCTCAGGTGGTAGCTAGGGGATTCCTCATGATGGCTGCCCCCTTTGTTCTGTTCCACCCACTTATATATCTTTTACATACGGTGGGAATCTTTTGTCCGTCTGGGTTCCTCCCCGCTTCTCAATGGAAAAGCACCAGGTTAAAGATGGATTCCAGTTCAGGTGAAATGATCACATCACTGTAAGACTTCATTACCCACTTGCCAGCACACATGTATACAGAAAGACTTGCGAGTAAACAGAGGCATCTGCAGACAATTGTCCTGGTTAATGGGAGTCATCAAGATTCCAAACCACCATTAATGGCCCATACTTTGCATAATTACAATAGGCCCTCAGAGTTATATTTCATATTTCTAGTTTCAGATACAAGAGTGGTACATTTATACAAATAGGATGACCACACTCAGTAGATTATAAGCTTTGTAATGATACCTTACAAGAGACCTTTTGCATGAAGCATATTCCAGTTACATTATATTTAAACTTATTAGCATATTTTCATAAAATCATATAGAGTGCAACGTCACAGTAAGCTCATAAATAGTTTGCCCCGCCCTCAATGTGGAGAGGAATATGCAACAAGCCTGTGATACCAAGCTGAGATTTTTCCCCAGACACTTCACTTAAAGGCACACTGGTTTAGATAAAGCAAAAAAAAAAGTGTATTAACTACAGAAATATAGATGTTAAGTGATTATAAGTGATAGCAAACAGACCCCAACTGAAAGCCGTGCCTGATCATGCCCAGTCATCGTACATATAGACAGTAAGAGACGGTTCCTACCCCAAATCTGACCACCTAAATAGCCAGAGGCTATTTTAACCCATTTGACAGGTGGGCAAACTGAAGCATCTAGAGACATTCACGCATCACTCCTCTCCATCTTCTGGGTCCCCTTCCAGAACACCCATCAGTTTTCTTATAAATCCTTCTGCTGGGGCTAGGGGAAGGGAAAGGGTTGTTTTGAGAAGGGTCTTCTTATGCCAGAAATAAGATGGCAGGGGTGGGGGAGATGATCCTCACAGGAGGTACCCGTGCCAGGGAATCAAAAAGAAAGGTGTCGCAAAAGCACGTGCCACCTGCCCTGGATTGGAGAATGCTTCCCATTGTGGGTTTCGGGTGAAAAAGGCTCCGAGCTCGGTGGATCCTGATCTGGTTTTGTTGCTGTGACTCACACAATGCTCTCCTTATTTCACCTGTCCACCGGCTGGGGTGGCTCGGGCCAGCAGAGGCATTGTCCCCTACAGAAGCAGCAACCTGCAGCCCCGACCAGAAGGAAGATTTATCAGCCCAGCTGTGGGCAGGGTGGCTGGGAGTCAGGACTCCTGGGTTCTCTCCCTGGCTCTAGGAGGGAAGTGGGGTCCAGTGGTTAGAGCGGGGTGGGGTGGCTAGGAGCCAGGACTCCTGAGTTCTCTCCCTGGCTCTAGGAGGGGAATGGGGTCCAGTGATTAGTGCGGGGAGGGAGCTGGGAGCCAGGACTGCTGGGTTCTGTGCCCCAGAGCAAGTCCCACCCCATTCTGTGATACCTCGGTTTCCCCCGTGTGAAGCTACTGGGGGGCAGGATGGGGGGATGGGAGAGCCTTTATGGTGAGACCCTGGATGAGCGGATAGGGGCCTGGCCTGGGGACCCAAGTAATCTAGGGTGAGATTATACAGGGCCTGGTGGCAACAGGTCTCTTGCAGCCAAGTGGGGCCTGGGGTGGTGTGGCGTGGGCTGGGGGGGGGCTCAGTAGCTCGGGGGTCATGTTCAGGGGGCTGGAACAATGTGTATTGTGGGGGTGCTGCCTGAGAGCCACTGGACCAAACTGTAAACCCTGATTGAAACTCCCCCAAGCCAGGGGGGGCAGCAGCAGCACGCGCAGGCCCAGGAGCTATGGCCATGTTGCTGTAACGGGGGAGGGGCCCGTATGAGCGTCTAGGGGCGCAGGGCCCAGGAGGCCACGGCCTGGGGCACGCGCCGCTGTGGTGTGGGGGAGGGGCACCTTCCCCCCTCCCGTGACTGGGACCCGAGGGCCATTTTCGCGCCGTATGTCAACCCCGGGGGGGCGGAGCTTGGAGGGCGGGTGAGGCGTGACGCTAAAGGGGGCGGGGCTGGCGGGAGGCGGAGAGGCGAGGGCGCGCGCGAAGGAGTGACGTGATGCTACGCAACGCATGCGCAGAGGGTGTTGTCGGGCTGCGCGGGAGGCGGAGAGTGGCGCGAGCGAGACAGCCGCGATCGGTTGGGGGAGCCGGGTGAGAGGCAGCCCTTGGGGACCGGCGGGCTGGGCTGGGACGGCCCCGGCGTGAGCGGGTGACCGCGGGGGACTCTCCCCGCCTGGACCCTAGGGCCGCGCTTGGGGGCTGCGGCCGCTGAGCCCCGCGGAGGCTGCGCGCAGGGAGCCAGCGACACCCCGGGCTGAGGCGCCGCCCGGCAGCGATGGCGCAGAAGAGGCGCGCTAAGGGGCCCGGCCCCTCCCAGGTACGGCGCGAGCCCGGGGGGCCCTTCTCCCGCCCCCACCGGGGCTGGCTGGGAACGGCCCGTGCGCCTCCCCCTGCCCCATTGCCGCTTTGATGCGCCTCCCGCCCTGCGCAGGGGGAAGACCCGGACGAGGACTATGCGCTGAGCCAGAGCGCCAGCCAGGTGCAGCGGAACCTGGAGCGACTTTCGCCGGCGCACGTGGATCAGAAGGTGGGTGGAGGGGGGGGGGCGCTGTGACGCGGGGTGGGGGGTTGGCGGCCCCCCAGGATTGGCCTGGCGTCTCCAGGAATTACATATAAATCGTGAACTAAAGCTTAGGGCAGGGGTAGGCAATCTATGGCACGGGTGCCGAAGGTGGCACACGAGCTGATTTTCAGTGGCACTCACACTGCCTGGGTCCTGGCCACCGGTCTCGGGGGGGGGCTCTGCATTTTAGTTTAATTTTAAATGAAGCTTTTTAAACATTTTAAACCCCTTCTTTACTTTACGTACAATAATAGTTTAGTTATATATTATAGACTTATAGAAAGAGACCTTCTAAAAACGTTAAAATGTATTATTGGCACATGAAACTTTAAATTAAAGTGAATAAATGAAGACTTGGCACACCACTTCTGAAAGGTTGCCAACCCCTGGATTACAGCATGGGATGAAACCTCCAGGAATCCAGCTAACTAAAACTGGCAACCCTACGTGGGGGGCCTGTTCCTCCCCCATGGGAACCGCCTCCTTTTGGGTAATGCACCTTGTCCTCCACCTGCAGGTGAGCGAATTGGTGCAATACCTGCTGGTCAAGGATCAGAAGAAAATCCCCATCAAACGGGCAGGTAAGAGGCCTGCTAGATGGTCATGGACTTTGGGGTGGGGAGGTTTTGCAGTCCCCTTCAAATTAGCAGAGGGGCTCCCTGAGGCCATTTCTATTCCCCACTCGGTCTGAATCCAGATCTCTGAGGTAGCAGAGCTAGGACTCAGCCATTCGGCCACAGTGACTTTCTCTAGCTTCCTCCTTCTGTGCTGCATCTGCATGCTTTGATTAGCCTTTTTCTAGCCTCCCCCCCACTTCCCAGAGCTAGTGATAGGACCCAGGAGTCCTGACTCACAGCCTCCTCTGCTCTGACCCCTTAGACCCCACTCCCTTCTTAGAGCTAGGGATGGAAACCAGGAGTCCTGGCTTCCAGCTGTCCCTGCTCTAACCACTGGACCCCACTCCCCTTACAGGCAGGGACAGAACCTGGGAGCCCTCATTTCCCAATCCTCTTTGTATGGGTCACCAATAATGTTTGACTGGGGTAGTCCATGGGATTCCTGGGAGGGGTATCTGATGAGGAGGGGAATGTAGCTGAAACGGTCATTAAAAAGTTACAACTCAAGACATGTGGATTCTACTTCTGGTTCAAGTTGCAGTGGTGGGGGAGGTTTATGTTGGATATTAGGAAAAACTTTCACTAGGAGGGTGGTGAAGCACTGGAATGGTTTACCTAGGGAGGTGGTGGAATCTCCTTCCTTAGAGCAGTGGTCTCCAAAGTGGGGTGCACGTGAGGATCCTTGGGGGTGCGTGGCAGCAGGAGCGTTTTTTTGTTTGTTTTTTTGCTTCGTCAGGCGGAAGTCTGAGCAGCTTTTTTTTGGTTTGTTTGTTTTGGCGCGGCAGTGGGTGCGTGCCTAAGAAATTTTTACTGATAGGGGTGCGCGATCAAAAAAGTTTGGAGACCCCTGCCTTACAGGTTTTTAAGGTCAGGCTTGATGAAGCCCTGGCTGGGATGATTTAGTTGGGGATTAGCCCTGCTTTGAGCAGGAGGTTGGACTAGATACTTCCTGAGGTCCCTTCCAACCCTGATATTCTAGGATTCTTCTACTGCCCCTGCTGGGTTAGAGGGTTACCACTGCAGGGGCACGGTCTTGCCAGCAGGGAGTGTTAGGAGCCATGGGAATAGCTGTAACATGTCTCCCTCTCTTCTCCCTTGTAGATATCCTGAAAAATGTCATCAAAGACTACAGAGGCGTCTATTCTGAGATCATTAAGCGAGCCGGCAGGACTCTCCAGCAGGTCACCATGCTGTGGGGAGTGGAACGGGGGGCTTGGCTAGGGACACACTCCCCTGGCAGGCTCAGTAGAGGGCGCTCTCTTTTGCCAATCAGTGCTGGGCACTAGGGGGTACTGTGCTGCGGGGAGCTTGACAGAGGGCACTCTCCCCTGCCAGTCAGTGCCGGGTGCTAGGGGCTACATGTTGCATGAGGGACTAGCTTTCACTGAGTGATCTTTAAAAAACTTTTAAAACTGTTGTGTTTGCCTTGGGCTTTGTCTGCACTATGACTTATGTCGGTCAGGGGTGTGAAAAAACACACCCCTGACCGACATAAATTTCACCAGCCAAAGTGCTGGTGTGGACAGTGTTATGTCAGCAGGAGCGTGTTCTCCTGCCAGCGTAGAGTGGCTGCATTATGTCTGTAGTGTAGACATAGTCTTGATGTTCTTGGTCAGTATTATCTTGGCTACTTGCAGCCCTTTACTCTTGCCACTCGCTTCCCAGCGTCAGGGATAGAACTCAGGAGTCCTGGCTCCTCCCATCATGCCCTGCTCCAACCACTCCCCATCCCATGCCTCTCTGAAATTAACCTCCCCCCCTCCTCCCCCAGGTTTTTGGGCTGCAGTTGATGGAGATAGACCCCAAGCATCACACCTACATCCTGGTCAGCATTCTGCCGCGCCTGGAAGTGGATAACCTGAAACAGTAAGGTGGGGG